TACGAATAGAGGAAGTATAATCCGGAATAGAGTTCTCTGAGTATATATATATATATATATTTTTCTTTTCCTCCAATCCCCATTGGTCCCTTGTTTTTTTTTTTCTTTCTTTTTTTCCTGATCTCTCTTTTTCTTTATTTTTCCTTTTCTTTTTTTTTTTTTTTTTTCTTTTATTAGGTTATATAAATCTGAACTGGATACTATTAAGAACGATTTATTATTTGGACAATTAAATGTTACTAATCCAATTGGTATTAATCGAAATTATGATTTTTCGATATACCATTAGGATCTTAATATTATTTAGATGCACTTAATTTAGATATTATATTTTTCTCTCTTTTTTTTTCCCCCTTTCTTTTTTCTTTTTTTTTTTTTTTCTTTTATTTTTTTTCTCCTCCATTCCGCTCCATTCCGTCCCCTCGAATTAAATCTCACCTCCCTTAAATTTTTCAAATTAATTACATTGTAATAACTCGATGCAATTGTAACAGATGTATTTTGCGTTATATCATTCGAATTTAACGAACAAGATTTAATTGTTTTATATATCGTGTTACATTAAACATTAATATCTTTCTAATTCATGAAAAGATATTATTTCATTGTTCGTTGATTCTCTATGGTCAGCGTTTTAATTAATTATTTTAATGGATGCAAGAAAGAAAAAAAAAAAGAAAAGAAAAAAGAAAGAAAGAAAGAAAGAAAAATACAAAAATTTCCCTAACAATTACAACTTGTTATACTGTAATCGTTTAAATCACAGGTCTGTTACATTATTGAATGAGTTTTATGGATTAAATTGAAAGAAAATATTTTATAGCCCGTATAAAATGTTATTAGTACATATTAATTCATTAAGATCGTTCTAATCGACGAATCAATTTTTCTAACAATTGTAACTTAAATTCATATTGTAAAAAAAAAAAAAAAAAAATGAAAGAAAAAAAAAGTAGGTTGATTTGAAAGGGGAAGGATGCGTTTGAAGGATTTAAAGATAGAAAAGAAAAAAAAAAAAAAGAAAAGGAAGAAGAAAAATTATTATTTCATAATTGATTTGACGTGATTAGTATTAATTGTTATAATCATTTTAATCGTGATAGAAATTTTCTAATAATAAAAACTCGTTGAGAATTATCGGTCATCGTCGTTTTTAGGTTCGTTAAAAATTTTTTTTTGAAGGGATAATCTCCACTGGCAACCGCTTAGTATCGATCGGTTAGAAACATGCACGTGAACATCTACGAACATGTTGGTTAATAGTAATACATATGTACGCGTATATATATAAACGTATAAATTGGATATCCAAAGGGAAAGAGAACACATGGAGAGTCAGTATTAGAGATGGCACACGCACGTCTCCACTTTATCGCTTTAGAAAGTAAAAGTAGCAAGAAAATATTAAAATGGGTACGTGTTTGCCCTTTTTTTCTTTTTTTTCCTTTTTCTTTCCTTCCATTTATAGGATCGAATAACAAATATAATATTTTTGATTAGGCATATAAATAAGTTTGATTAAAGGAAAAGAGAGAAAGAGAGAGAGAGAGAGAGAGAGAGATATGTTAGAATTTTTTAATAATAATAATAATAATAATAATAATAATAATAATTATTATTATTATTATTATTATTTTGAATTAATCGTAAGATCTTGCAATAATTAAAAATTTCTATTGGTCGGATTAAACCAATTAGAATTTTTAATAATGATATTAATTATATGATCCTATTTACTTTAAAATATTGTATACAATTAAAATTATGATTGGTACGAATTGATGAATTGATATTAGAATTTTTTTTTTTTTTTTTATTATTATTATCTTATTCATTTTGAAATTTTAAAAATAATTAATGCAATTTCGATTGAGGCGTATTATAGATATTAACATTTTTTTTTGTTTTTCTTTTTTTTTTTTTTTTTATTTTTTTTTTTAATAATAATAATAATTATAATTTTACGTTCGAGTATCTTAATGATAATAGATGAATTTAATTGATTTATATTTATTGAAAGGATTATTCGAGTTTTGTGAAATTTAAAATTGGATTTTCTCTTTCTCTCTCTCTCTATCTCTCTCTCTTTCTCTCTCTCTCTCTTACTCTCTTTCGCTCTCTCTCTCTCTTTCTCTTACTCTCTTATATTAATGCGATTAACGAGATATCGGATTTTTATTAACGTCAAGTCTAACAAGTATTCTTACTTTTTGATATTATCGTTGTAAACGGGATGATCTCATCATTGACAATCTCAGGAGTGAGGTCAGCAGTTTCACGGATACCGAAGAATTGGAGAGACGTGATCAGGCTACTGGACAGGACGATGAACTACAAGTCCTTATTTATGATCCTAGAATATCTATGATATTACGAAAGCCTCTGTATCGTCAGGATGACGAACCTTCGATATATTGATTCTCGGCGATTATTTCACTGTAATTTAAATCAAACAATAGAATTGAAAGATTTTTTTTACCAAATTATAAATATTATTTGA